GTTGTCACATCCTTCGACAAGGAAGTTGATTGCATCCTTGCGGATCGTGTAATGAGTAGGAGAGGCGTGCCCAAGTATACAAAGTATTTGGTGAAATGGAAGAACCTGCTAGATAGCGAGGTGAGCTGGGAGCATGGGGGTACACTTTGGCAGTTTGTGGAGCATATCCAGCGGTTCAAGCAAGAAGACGCGACGAGGGCATTGTGAGCTTAGGTGGGGGAGAATGTAACGCCCTGCAACCCAGAGGTTACGCCACGTAGGCGCCCCGCAAATGCCCAACAGAAGATGAAATGGCAGCCTGCATGGATTGAGAGCTTTTTAGATTTCTCTACATAAGTATGGAACTTTCCTGAATTCTCTAGATTAGCGTGGAGTTGTTTAGCCTTTTCTGGACTTGTCTAGAGTTGTATAGAATTCTCTAGACTTGTCTTGTACATTGTATATAGTTCTAGAATTGTATAGATAGTTCTTTGGAGGATTCTAGGCCACACATCTGTACCCATCAATGTTGCCACTAGTTACTTCTAGACACAGAAGAAGCTTAGCCCCAAGCAAGCTCGATGGTAGGACTTCCTAGCGGAGTTCACTTATCATTTTGAGTACAAGCCGGGCAAGGCCAATGTTGTGGCGGATGCACTTAGTCGCAAGGCCGAGCTCGCAACTATTAGTCGGCCCCAGCACCCTCTTGTGGAGCGGATCAAAGAGGGGTTGCAGCATTTCCCTCTAATTGTGTAAGGGCCAAAGGCCTATAATTGTGTAAATAGTTTTTTGGAGGATTTTAGACACTTATTCTAGGCCACACATTTGTACACATCTAGAATGTTCTTGTAAGGGCCAAAGGCCTATAAATAGGAGGTGGGAGTTCATCTGCTCCTCACCAAGCAAACAAGTTGTAATCTCCTCTCAAGTAATACAAGTGTTCATACTTTCACCCAAACTCTCTTGTTCACTTGTCTAACTCTCTTCCTACACACATACTTGTGAGTAAAGCACTTGTCTAGCCTTAGTCTTCACTAAGCTAGCACACTCGGGTAGGTTGACTTAGCACTTCAAGGGGGCTTGAACGTGTCTAAGGCTGCACGTGAGCTTGGAAAGGTCCAAGTTCGTGGCAGTAATGTCATCAAGAATTGATTAACATGAGCTTCCTCTTGTAATTTAAGAACTTGTGAATGTGCAATAAGGTCAACACCATCCAGGATCATATAGTCCTTCTCATGCCAAATAGAGAGGCAACCATTGAAGTATTCTTGAACAGTCTTATCGCCTTGACTGTATTTAGCCAATTCCATGTCAATGCTTGATTTGTTAGTCTGATGATACACTTTCTTTAGATGCTTCCACATCTCTGAGGCTTTACTAAAGGACTAAAGGGACAAGGTGATTGAAGAATCAATAGAATTCAAGATCCAAGTAATCACCTTTGAATTGTTTTGGATCTATGTGACTTTGGTTTTGTCATTAGTAGGCTCAACGGCAGTTCCATCCAAAAACTAGCCAATCCTTGTCCTTGGGCATAGTGTTTGAGATGAAAGGACCATCCCACATAGTTGATAGCTCCAGTAAGACGAACAAGAATGATGTCACTTTTATCCATAGCAAAATTTGATCAGATATGCAAACAAAGAGAAGAATCTGAATAGATGTCAATGGAGTTATTAGTCACAACAATGCAAGGAGACTAATAAATCAACAAGATCTTCTCTAAGCAGAAGTTTCAGAGAGGTTGATGTTTGTGAACCAGATCTGGACAGAGAACTAAATAAAGCTCTAAACCAGGGTGTAAAAGAAAGAGATGATGTTGTGAACCAAAAAATCCGCACAGAGAACTGAACAATTATCTAAACCAGATTGTAAATAGAGAAAAAAAATGCAATTCTTTGACTAACCTTGCTCTGATACCATGTTAAACAGAGAAAGATGAGTTAAAGCAAAATTTCTGACGAAGGAAGTTGTCCTTCCCTTTGGATCTCATTCCTATTTATATTACAAGATTTGCCAAACACGTGGCTACAATCAAGGAAAATATTTACAGCAAGTATGTAAAGGTAATAAGCTAATCAAATCCCATAATTACAACAATTAGATTTACAGTTAATCTAATCCTAAATGTAAGGCATGATTTTTGTCACTATTTACATGGATAACCCTGGTGGAACCAACAAAGCCTGCATCCGAACCCGCCACAGGTTGAAATCGTTTCTGCCGTTAAACATCTCAATTTCCAGAAACTTGGACGTCATCCCTACTTCGAACCAAAAGCTCTGATACTAGTTTGTTATGACAAACGCAGTGAACCCAAGATAAAATCAAGAATCAGGACAGAGAAATAAACACACCACACAAAGAACACAAAGATTTATATGTGATTCGGCAATAGCCTACGTCTACGGTTGAGATCCGGCGAAAGTCTTCACTATGTATAAAATCGGAGATTACAAGTTTTCAGCCTCTCGCTCTATTTCTGTACGAATTTCAGAGTCTCTCTCTTCCATCACTCCAAACCCTAAGCACCCTTATATATTGGGGCACAAGAGACTAATTAGGGTCCACGACCCATGAGCAAAAAATGGGTCAAAAATCCAATAGGTCATAAGCAGGTCGCAACGCGACCTTGCACCAAATTCGGGCCACAACACTGGCAACAATAATTGATAGTGTGATTATTAAGACTGCAGTGAGTACATTTTTTTGATTCTCTACCTTGGCCACGACCCCCTCTTGAATCACAGCTACCACATGTAGAACGACCACCACGAGAATTGTTAAGTCCACCATGGGAGACAACCAATGCTGAACGTTCACTGCTATTATCAGTATGTACACCACTTGAAGCAACCCCAACAGCGCCACTAGATAGAGTAGCTCACTGAAGTCTGGAATATATTAGGGAGAGAGGGAGTGTGGGATTGCCCAAAATCTATTACTGAACTGGTTCATACTCTTGCGACAACCTTGTGAGAACTCGAACAACATTAAAATCCTCTCGTTGTTGCATACGCTTCACTTCGGAGGTGATGGGCTGATATAAGTTCATTTCTTCACAAATTTCCATCGCCTTCGAGAAGTATTCTTAGACTTTGAGTACCCTGCTTAAGGCTAAAGCACTGTTTGCACACCTCTTAGATGTGTGTGATATTTCTAGTACCCGAATATAATTGTTTGAGACGGTTCCATATATCCTTGGCAGTGTCCAGATACAGTAAGTTGGAGCTAATATTTGGTTCAATGCAATTCAACTTAAGGAAATAATCTGAGCATCCCTCTGTTCCCATGAACTTAAATCAGCATCATTGTCTTTGGGTTTATCCTTAACCAAATGAGTGCCAAGGCCTTTAGCTTTCACAAAAATTTCTACTGACTTGGCCCACAAGACGTAATTCTTGCCATTTAGCTTCACTAAAGTCTTTGGAGGGTTGAAGGAAGCTTAGGAAGAAAATAAGTCGGAATTGGTCGCCATACTGAATCAAAAAAAAAAAAAAAAAAAAAAAAAATTGCCTCGAACTAGCCGGAGCAGATCTGTGATCGGAATCTGGTCATTTGGAAATTAACTGATCGGAATTGAGAGTTTATCAGTCTTGATCAAAATTGGAGTTAAAGCCAAGGATTCTCACCGAGGAGAGAAGAAAAGAAGTTTGGAAGAAAAGGAAAAATATATATATATATTGAACCTGGAAATCAATCTAATTCAATCGGATCGAGTCAGCACGATGGGTCGGACTTCAGTTGGGTCGCGTCTGGTTGCTAGTGTTGGATCAACTGACACCTTATTCTGACTTGGGACAGCCAATATTCAAAACCAAACATACCCTTTCTCCTTTAAAGCCCTATTTGATTTTCATAAACACACACTGTATATATATGTCGATGGCAAAAATGGATGAGAAGCAGCGGGGACGACAATGACTGTTGACGACGATGACTGAGAATAGCGGTGAGAACTGCGGCAACAACTGAGAATGGCAGCAACGATGAGGATTGACTGTGATACAACTACAACAGTGACTATGGCGGTGACGAAGGCGGCGATGGAACCAACAACAACGATACCAACAAACACAATTGCGGTAACAATTTCACACACCAGAGACTTTGATCACAGCCCGCTCTGATACCATGTTACGATTAGGGTTTAGAATAGAAGAGGAGGCAACATGTTGAGAAATTCAGTCGACCACTTTCTCATTTTAATTCAGTCGACCACTTTCTCATTTTGATACTATGTGTATATATACAAGTGTACAAATAACGGAAGGACTAAAATACCCCGGTAGGTAAATTACAAGAGTGCCCTAATTCAATTATTCTAACAGTGTTGTTGCACACAGTGTGGGTGGTGTGGTGGTGATCGCGGCATTGGCACAGATGGAGATTGAGAGAGAGACGGTGACGATTGAGGGTACATAGATGAGATTGAGTCATATGTGGTGGGCAATATAGTCATTTGTTATACCAGATATTTTACCATTTTTTACAATATAATAATATGAGGGTGTATAAGAATTTCATTGCAAAATCTAAAACAGGGGTGTCTTTGCAAAAAAATGTCAAACCTCAGGTTTATTTGCAGTTTAAGGCTAAACCTCAGGGGACGTCATTTTAGTTTACCCTAATTTTTTTGTACTTTGGACTTGTTTTATATTTTTTCTTAATTTTTTTTTTTTCTCTTCTCACATCTTATATATGTATGAATGTTCATTTATTTAATGCTTAAATCTATTATTGTTCATCAATCTTAGAAGAAATATAATTAGGACAGTGACTTGAAAATTACAAATAGGTCAATACTTATGTTAAATGATCTTCAAAAAATCAATAAAATTCACTAAAAATTCATCTTTATTGCCTTTTGTTGTAAAAAGTTGCATATTGGTGCATTTTAGACCCTATGTGCGGGATCAATAAAAAAAACTGTAAAGTGCATTAGTCCGCTCATCCAAAGCTGGTTTTGCTCAAATATTTGATTTCTAAATATTACTTTGTGCTTTCATTCTTAATTGTAGGAATGCATTGATGAGAAGTGTTTCCCCTATTCTTGAAACTCACTAATGGAGTAACAATGATAGGTAATATTAATAGTTTTTAGGTAACTGGTTGAATGAGATTGTACACCCACTGGTTGACACAATCTGGTTTAGGCAATGCAGATGGCATTTCGTGTAAGAGATGAAATGGTAAAGCTTTTTTTAGGAGCACATCCAAGGAGCAGCATCAATTCGTTTTATAGCTTTGAATGAAGGACGAAAGGATGGTAGGCTGACATTGTTTTGATGAATCATTCGACTCCCAGGCATGGTACTCAGAGAACATATATGGTCATCATGTTTAATAAGTAGTACATGTATATATGTAAAATCTTCAGAAAATTGAGTTAATATGCACAGAGGAGTTAATTATTCGTTCAGGGAAGGCTTATTTAATTTGTTCCTTTTTCTTTAGTTTCACTAGTCAGTTGCAGTTGGTTGTGAAACTTTGTACGGTTGAATTCACAAGAATACAGGTAACGGTGTAAGTGCATGTAAGAGTGTCTCTCATTGATCGGTGGTACCTTTCTTGAGTAGAATTTATTCAATATTGGTGACTTTTTCGAGTATCAGTGGCTTTTAGACAAAAGTAATATAAAATAAAATAAAAACTTGGAACTGTCCAAAGTTGAAAGATAACTGAACAATTTTTTTTTTTTTTTGTAGAGAGACCCACAACTTACAAAAGTAGTTTATCCGGTCACTTCCAGCTACTTTCGGATGGTAAGTGGGGTTTCAATTACTAATTTACTACGACTAATTAATTTTTTTTTTTTTTTTTTTAAAAAAAAGAATTTTGAAATACCAATAATGCCCTCATTAGCTTTACTTATACTAATTATTTTTTTTATTTTTATTTTTTTTTTGTTTCCCAAATCTTCATATTCATCAGTTGAAACTCAGGTTCAAATTCCAACCGCAAAACAAGAACATTGCTGCGGATTTCAGTTTCACCCATCATAGCGAAATCCCTTACTATCTTCTTTTTTTAAAAAAAAAAAAAAAAAAAAAAAAAATTAGTAATTGTATCCCATTTTACAGGCGGAAAGCAGACGAACGTGACCGACTGCCACGGGCTAAATGGTCTTTTTATATATTTTTTTTCTCCTTTTGACTAGCGGCTGCAAACAAGGTTTGTGGAAAGACCCAATACATGGAATAAAAGAAAATCAGAAAGAAGCAGGGATTAACTTTTTTTTTTTCTAGTTGGTACTCCACACACGTCTCTATGGAGATTCAAACCTCTGATCTCCTTTTAAAAAAATAGAGGCCTAGTACCGCTAGGTCACAAGCCTATTTGGTGGGATTGAATAACTTTACCAAGACATTCATACGATTGTTCACATTTTAAAAAAATGGTGTACAATTTAGTCGATCTATATACAGATTTGAGAGAAGTCATTCTTAAAAACAGATATATATATATATATATATAAGTAAAACAGAAGCACTAATATAACAAACGACTACAATAAATGGGACAGAAAACATGCAAGTCTGAAGAAAAGGGCAAGGCTCTATTAGGCAGATTAACAACTAAACATATCATTCTACATACATAAAAACATGACCATATTTCCAACTTTTCTATCCTTTTACTCTTACCCTCCTATATATTCAACAGTTGCAACAATGGCAATCAATCGGACATGTCATATTCAGCCCCACTAGATTGATCCATTTCTTGGTCTTGCACGACCTTCTGTTGTCTCCCATCACCGTCTTCAATGTCTTCTCTCTTTGAACTCAATAAATTCTCCTGTAAAATATAAATTATACCGGGGCTATAATAAATCAGCGTGGAATAAGCAGAATGGTACCAAAATTCAACATCCAAATAATTAAGGTTTATAACAATGTTTCCATGTCATACCCCGGATTCCTTCGATTGTATGGCAGAAACAGTTGATCTCCTCCTTACAGTCACTCTTGAAGGTGGCGGAAAATGTTCAACTTCTTCATTCGATTTTCCTTCCCTGGCCCTCTTTTTCCTTAAGATGAGCTTTGTAGGAAGGGGCTGCATCGTTTGTTTGAATTAGCTGAAGGCCACTGATTCACCTACACAAAATGAATATGCAGATTGAAGAAAATATAAAAACATTTGAAGTACATACCACATAGCGTGCCTCTGATTCACTAAATGACACGAAGTATGTTGTGGGGTCATCTGCATCATCACCACGCACCTGCCAATTCATTGAAAGAAAATTATCACGTTGCGGTTTATGATAAAACTATCTTCAAGTTCACATTTCTCCAAAAAAGGAAATATATACATAAAATAAAATAAAATAAAAAAGAAGAAAAAATGGTACATACATCCCAGTGGTACTCGCGAACCCATGAGAATGAGATGTCTTCACTTTCGTCATACATGTCCTTCTGAATCTGCCACCATCACAACACAAGTATACAAATCATTGAAGAATTGCCCAATTAGAGTCGATGGGGGAAAAAATTAGTAAAGCATTTTCCAAACAGAAAAATCATGAAGTGTTAATGTTTTCTTATTTTAATCTTAAGTTTGATTTACCTCATCAGGTGAAGGGGCCATGTATGCCAAAAACTTTTCTGGATTAGCCGAGCCTGAGCCTGTTGCCACAAAACTTTTCATAATGCCCTGGGGTGGGCCATGAAAGATGGGTTAAACAAAAAATTCATAGTACACCAATATACAATTAGAATGACAGTATACAATTATAATTTCCTAAATCAGTACAGGAGTATTGGTTTGGACAAATATATCTCTCAAACAATATCTATTTGATCTTAAAACTGCACAAGTTTATTCGGTAAGAAACCACTTGATACATTACAGGAAAGTGTAAATATAATGATCATAAGTATGAAAATTCCTTACTTAACCAAGAAATGCTTGTTCTTTAGATACACAGTGGATTAGTGGCTAAATTGCAGTTGTCCCACAATTAGTTAGCTAGTTCAAGGTAATCAGCCATGGAACATCATTATTTATATTCGCAAACAAACAATATTCATGTTGCATAGGAATTGGTGCAAGAGTAAGGTGCCAGAAAAAATATGCTCAAAAAGCAAAAATAAAAATTCAAAGGCGCAAGTAGAACTCTATAAATAATTTCAAACAAAAGGAGGCTGCATGTGTTGCTGCTGAGACAGCCCTGTCATCACCGAGCTATGTCATCCCTGAGCCATGTTATAATTTTTTATTTGCATGACATAAAGGGGAAAAGGGTTGGTAAGAAAAGAAAGAAAAGAAAAGGACAAAAAAAAAAAACGGCTGGTCTTTGCAGCCTATCACTGGATCCTGAAAATACAAACAAAATTTCCAACAATTCGAAATTAACTCGTTAATCTTCTACTTGAACGATAAAGGCAACACACATTGGGCTATAGCTATATCCACCAACACTCCTGTATATTCAATCAAACACACATGTATGTATGTATTTATACCTGTGATTCATAGGCATCGCGAACAGATTTGTCCAACTTGCTGTATGTTTCTGAATCCGCAGTAGGAGCACTATCAAATGCCGCAATGACAAACGGGTCATCGTACCTGGCACGATAAGGTCATAAATAAATCAGCTAAATGTCAAAAAGAAAATGACGGATGCCACAGGATCATTAATCACAAAATTTGAACAGAGTAGAGTGAATGCACCAACTAGATCCACAGCTATAGTCCTGTCAGTTCATCATGATAGGAACAACATTTGAAGCAAATATGGATCATATGACCACCCATTTAGTTCATAATTACTATATATTCGAAAAGGCATAGTTATATCATAGCTTTTATTATTATTATTATTATTATTATGGATAAATACTCTCAGTTACTATGCTTTTATCTACTGATAATAGCATAATTAAATGTGGCAGCATTATCTCTATGGAGAAGGTAGTTCAGGAAAATAAATAGAAAATATAAATTTAGTGCCAGCATCAGTCCTAAATAGTTGAGTTTGAGGATCTGTTGAGTTAAATCGGTCTTGTCATATATAAGGACATTTTTACATGTGGAAAACACACATGCATAAACAAAACTTCAATAATTATGTCGAGACTCCATACCGATCAAAATCAGGTAGTAACGGCAGAATCTCAACAGGCTGTAGTTTCTTATTGGTTGAATGACCGGGCTGTGCCTTGCAGGCCTCAAAGGAAGCCTCGATTTCCCGGATTTTACTTTCCCTGAAAAGTTAGAAGAAAAAGAAAAAGAGCAAATATATACTTCTTCTCTTATATTTCTCTTCAAGTGAACAGAGTGGAAAACAACAGACCTATTGTTAAATTTCTGCAAAATGTTGCGGCCTCTTGTTTGCCTCAGTTCTTTTGCTTGTTTTTCAGTCAGAGACTGCAAATAGCATTGTAACAAATAGTGCATTAACTTCAGAAGGATTTCTAGAAACAATAAGCTTCTCATACTCTGCCTTGGTTCTACATTACCTGTTTTGCTGCTTCCACGCTAAGAGGAGAAATATACTGCGTTCTAACCAGCCAAGAAACACCTTTGTCAGTAGGCCGTTCTTTTCTTTTTATTCCAGTTTCCTTGATAGGGGTTACAGGATCATCTTCCCGCAACAATTCTTCATCTTCTGGATCAAGGTGTAGCTTTTCATCATTGGGAGGACTAATAGGCAAGGGAAATGACAATCAGAGTTGTGTTGCTAGGAAAATAAAATGTACACATGTACACACACACCCCCACAAAAAAATAATAAAAATGAAAAACTACCAAGGTAACCAAAAACAGGTTTACAAGAACAATACGTGTATACACTGAGATCAAGTAGGTCAAGCGGTATGCTTAGATCTGGCTCAACATATAGTTGAGGCTTGTGCAATTTCTCCAATGATGTAATTGTGTATTTAGTGAATCTGCAAAAATGGATCATAATTGTTACAAAAAGATCAAAACAATGAAAGTTAAACCTGAAATTTAAGAACATCAAAACAACAGAAAATTTTGTTTCCATAATGTTTAACATAAATTATAGTTCCAAACAATTGCATGTTTAAGTAGATTATGCAGTATCATATTCGATGAAGGTTAACCTTAGTGCTTATAAGGTGGATGTGCAGGTATGCAATAAGTGGTTGCCGTGTGTAGTGGGCTCGCAAGGGGTTATGGTTCTCCAATGATTCCAGTATTAATTGTTTTCCTTTTACTTCGTGTTTTGTTTTAAATAAATGACTCTCCAATCTTTGTGTACGGTACATGAAACGAAACATGTTGCGAGAAGTGTAGTCTAACTACTGCGGAGGATATGTACCCAGTTAAGATGGAAGTGGTGGTGGAGGTAGAGGTAGTGACAGCAGTGTTGGAATTGCATGAGGTAGCTCCTTCAAATGTGGAAGCAATCCAATTTACACATTTGCTATACCGCATCAACACATAAGAAGCAGAATTGGTGGCTGAACCCCCTTTAATCACATTTGACCTATATACTTTTTATGCACCCTCTTTTTGGTCTTCCCTCTACACTCAATACTTAAATGCAAGCAACTCCATCTATATCTGAACTATATTATAAATTGATCTAGTATTTCTGGAAAAGGTAACAAATTTTTAGTACATTCATTAAACTTTTTCAGTTTTCTCAGTGTGTTTGGAATGAGTGTTATATTGGATGCAACTCCTCTCTATATTAGTATAACCATATCAATTAATTTAGTTTCCACAGAAAAGTTCAAAATTCATTATAAATTCTTCAAAGAAATTATATTTACTCAACAGAGTTAAAAGGAAAGAAAAGGAAACGACAAGGGCTAGCTTATCTCATGCTTGGTTTTACAATGAGGAGAAAAAGGCAAGAGGCAGTTTGCCAACCCTTTAAATTTTTACTATATTTCCACAAGTGCGATATTTGAAAAGAAATGATAAATGATCTAGTGATTCCCCATTTCACCTCTGTATTTTTATAGAAAAGTGAATTCCTGCTTTACCCCTTCTACTCGGATTGATTACCAATTTTGCCCCTATTTTCTATAAAAGGGAAGTTCCTATATTTCCTTCAACTCATATAATACAATCTAAGTAGCACAGACAACTGCGGGACATGGACACAACAACACGAATGAGCTGACACATCAAATCATAAAAAAGTACGACGGGCGGAACATAAAGATAATAATAGAACTTTAATTATTGTATATATCTATTGGATAAGACAATTATAGAACTTTAACAAAATTTTTATTTCTATAATTGAGAGTTGCATAATTAAGAAATAAAGCTACATGAATATCAAAAAGATTATTGTAATAACTACCACTCCTACTTTTTTACAATCATATGTTTTTCCCACATGAGAAAATGTCATTGCATGCTTGATTGTGGTGACGTTAGGTACAATGTCTATTTTCTAAAAGAAAAAAGCTTGGACACTTTGAGGTGTGTTCATACCGTTCCCAAGATTATCGGGCATAGCTATGCTTAGATGTGATTGTGTTATATAATAATTGAGTTGTGGAGTGCATAGGATGTGTCCGCAAAGTGTCCAAAGTGTGTCAGTTAAGTGTAAATATATATATATATATATATTTAAAATTATGAAAATGACAAGAAAGTGTCGGACACACGTCCAAGACTGTCTGAAAAGTATCAATGTCCATCATGTTCAGGGCACCTTCGTAGAGCTGTCAATACTTCTTAATATAAAAAATTCCTTTCCTTTTTGTCCATTATCTTTACCAAACAAGTGACTATCAGTTCTTTCCTAGTTATCAAGCATGACGAGAGTCAACGTTATTCTTTCCTTTCTTTTATTCCATAACTAATGCTATCATTTTTCCCCCTTATGGTCTTGCTTATCCAGAAATATTGGTAAATAAAAGTTGCTTCTAGCTAAAAAAAACCTTGGAGGAGCTACTGAACCAAAGGGTAATAGAAAATTACATATTAATGTTAACATTTCAACTCCTGATAAGTATGATATACCATGAGCCTATGAACTCATTCTTCACAACTCTTGTATTAAACGGACATATTCATGTATATGCATGTGCTTTTACGTAGACGGATGGATGAACACGCATGCATGAAGAATGCTTTGAAGTTAAGCATCTAGTGGCTATACAAATGATTCTCGCAAGTAGATTGCATACCGATCTTTGTCTCTCCATAAAGACAGAAGCTTTGGTTGTGCAGTTGGATCTGGTAGTTCATTCCGAAATCTTAGAGGACCAGACATGTACAAATTAAACCATCAGTATTAATAATAAAGAATATACTAGCAAAAGTATCAGATGCATGCTATCAAATATGCCTGGGCACAAGGTTTTGCCTGTAAAGGAGATAGAAAACATTATAGTGAAAACAGAGAAGGATAAAAAAGGCAGAATATATTCAAAACAACATTAAGTAAATGTTGGAAGTTAAAGAAAACAAATAAGCCTTCACGGTGGTGTAACATTAAATGTTTAGTTGGAAAGAAAAAGAATGTATTAGACAAGAGAGAGAGAGAGAGAGAGGTGGAACATGTAAAAATAAGAGAATATGAAATTTTCTATCTTCTTGTAAATTTTAAAATATAAGATCCCCAATTTTGTACCAATACATGCACAAATTCAATACATCAACACTGGAATATAAAATTTAGTTCAGGTTTTAAATTTCAGTTACTTGCCTGCAAGTTTGGATAAGCCAATACACTAATCCGTGCAAAAGTTTTAGGTAGATATTAGCATAGCCTCAATGTGCAAGATCCCATGTGGATGTCCTCATATTATTCAATTTCAAATTTATCACCTCCTCCTATACTCTAATAAAAATATAGTGAATTTTTGTGACTACAGCTCCAAATATCTCCAGGGAAAGAAAAAAAAAAACTTGATACATATTTTTCATAGTGTCTCAAACCCAAAGATATAAACACTGTTACCAAGAACAATGATTGTTTAGATTTGTGGGGTGGGGATGAGGATGTCGTATGACATAGAATCCAATATGTATGACAAGAGCGATAAAGATAATTCTAAACCTATTTTGTTTATATGCAGGTGGAACACTCTATTTTGGAATACACAACTTCTCTCTTTACTTCTTCAGAAATTTATTATCATTAATATAAGACAAAGAACTTACTGGGATTTAGTAACTTGGGCCAATGATGTACCATGACATTTTCTTAAATATTTACCTAATACTACCTTATTACATTTTAATTCATTTTCTTTCTTTCCTATTTTCTTTCCCATGTTTCTCCTCCTTTTTTTTTTTAATAAGTTCCCCCCATGTTTCTCTTCAGAAACCAAAATACCAAAATTATTAGTAGGAACAGATTTTTTATTACTAATTCAGTAACCTAGGAAAAAAGTATATGATCTATTGGGACGTCATGGAAGTCACTAGAGAGTAGAGTATCACCATCTCCTGGTAACTTTGACTCAGTTGGTACATGACAGCAAAAAAGTTACTGAGTTTGCTTCTTTACTATCTCACAAGTAATAGCTATTGCTTACAAACATTATGGGACTGAAATGTAGTATAAACCTTAATAATTCATACCACAGCCATGTTAAACCAGTATAAACTTCAACCAAATGCTTTGCTTGACAAACTCAATCTTCAAAATAGAATCAAAAGAAAAAGAAAAAAAAAAAAAAATTGCTAAAAATTTGTTAGTTCAACATAAAGAGGTTACTGATTGTACCAGCAAAATTTATATCTCTAAAGAGCCAAGGAAAGCAAAACAAAAAAATGGAGAAGAAAAAATTTCAATTTGGTGTCATAACATACTCACTTCAACTTGCAAAGGAAAGTAGTCGGCTTCTTCAACCGGTTTTCAATCCTCTCACCACTAAAAAGTGGAGTAGTTATCCTCTCACCCAACCGTGACCCACTAATCGAACCATGCCCCCTCATCCCAGAAGATAGCATTTGGGTCTTTCGCAGCACTGTGTTTTTCAATTCCTTTAACTGCTGCCTTTGCTTCTCTTCTTGCTTTTGTTTTTCCAGCTCTCTTGTCTTTCGTAACCTCCTCTCTTCCTCCGTCTCAATCCTCCCCGAATGCCCTTTTGATTTCTTAGCTGACACTGGGGGAACAGGAGGCTTATGTTGTTTAGGCGGAGCCCCCTGATTTGAATGCTCCAATTCTCGCAACCGAGGGACCACTAGTTCCTTAGATGCCCCCTTTTCACCATCTGGTCTAATTTCCTTACTTTGGCTAATTGTTGGAGAGGATGAGGGAGGTGGCGGTGGAGATGGAGGGGGTGCAGGTGGAGGAATTGAAGAACTCTGGGGCGGAGGAGGCAGTGGTGGAGGTGGAGGTGGTGGTTCTAGCGGCTTCAACTGCTGACGATTGAATTGTGAGTACTGAGAAGACAGGTAGTACATTGGAGCTGGTGTGGGCTGTGGCGGTAAGTTAATTGAATTCTGAGACATGGAAGGAGGTGGTGGTGGTCGGTTTGGAGCTGGTGTGGGCTGTGGCGGAAAGTTTATTGAATTCTGAGACATTGAAAGAGGCGGTGGTAGTCGGTTTGGAGGTTGTGTGGGCTGTGGTGGTAAGTTCATTGAATTCTGAGACATGGAAGAAGGTGGTGGAGGTCGGTATGAAGGTTCCTTCGGAGGTGGTGGTGGTGGTGGTGGGTATGAATATTGTTGTTGCGGCTGTTGAAGATGATTAAGAGGAGGATGTGGAGGCTGAAGCTGATTCATAGATGGAGCAATGTAGTGTTGTGATGATGGTGCTCCATAACCTCCACGCTGCAAACCCGAATTTGCAGGCATTGGGTTATAGCTCTGAGAGAAAGACGACCCATCACCACCACCACCACTGTAAGCCCAATGTGATTGTGGAGGCGGTGGTGGTGGTGGAAGGGGGTTCGGTGGACTAAATGACTGTGGAGGTGGCGGGAAAGGCCTGTACGATGCCATTGCCACTACTGGATCTTCTAGTACAACCAAGTATACCCAAAACCCTAGGAGAGAGAAAACAGAACGTCAATCAAAACATGTTCTGATAGAAATCTAAAAGAAGTAAAGAAAAATTAACATGCAAAACCCTAGGTGAGAGAGTGCTTGAAATGCAATCGCTAATTTTTCTGATGGAAGTGGAAAAACAAAAAAATTAAGAATAAATAAAAAAAGGAACAAATTGAAATGTAACAAAAACATCACCTCAGATACTAATTATAAGCTCACTTAGCCTTCAAGTAGAACAGAATGGAACCCTAGGCCAGGTAAAATACAATGCCGATTCTCAATTTTGTGCTGGAATTTATAAACCCTGGGGGAGAGAGAACCAAAAACCCTATTTCAGAGAATACTCATTAAAGATCAAAGCCTCATTTGGTTGTGAACAAGAATCTCTAGTCAACAAACATTAAATGCATACATATCTATATGCAATGCATATATGGAGAGAGAGAGACAGAGAGCATATGTTTTAGAGAGAGAAAGTGACCGGAAAATCCAACCGGCGATTGACAGCAGATTATTAAGTTGTAATTAGTACAGCACACTGTTTTCAAATACTAGCAGCGTATTTTGGCAGTTACTTAAAATTGCCCAAATCTAATGTGGTTTTCATAATCAGAAGTATTGCAAGTAGGGTTAATTGTATGTAAAATGGAATATACATAGATGTACTAATTTCATGTCTATGAATTAGTGTTAACTACTAAGTTGGAAATAATTTTCTTAAAAATTAAACCTTTTAAAAAATATATAATAAATTACCAACTGCAAAACCAAGTCACTCTTTCATATATATATATATATATAAGAAAAATATTTCCAACTTAGTTGTTAACACTAATTCATAGACTAGAAATTAGTACATTCAAAATATAGTATATTTTTTGTTGGTGTAGTGCCCCATGGAACATCCCATAATACATGCCGAGAGTGCCCCTAGGAGATACAAAAATCTATAATCAAAGAGCAAATAATATTGTAACGACTCGAATTCGGGGATCCGAATCGTCATCCGCGTCTTTACCTAAATCCGAGGTTAACTAAGGATAAAATGGCCATTATGTACCTTACTATGAGTTATGAGTCATAATGAAGTCATACTAGTTATTTATAACCACATTGGATCATTAAAGAACAGTAAATCCAACTTCGAGTTCATGCTGAAACCTTAAGCTCACGAGGGGTAAAATGGTCATTTTAAGTTAAAAATTATAAAATGAGATTGAAGTGTTGGAGTTGCTTTGCACAATCAACTGGATTTGATACCAGTTGTTATGGCGGAAACGCAAATAACAATGTTGTTCAAGGAATAATTAAGCAATCACGAAGAATAAAAAAATCATACACAAAAATACAAGATATATATGATTTCGCCAAATCTTAGAGTTACTTCTATGGAGTACACCAAACAAATTCACAATGAAGAAGATTAAGAACTACAATGGATAATTTTCTCTCAATCTCTCTCAATTGCTCTTTCTTGTGTTGGCACAAATTAATCATACAATACGTATGATTTCTTTCTAATTTTCACACACCCTAAAATCTTATTAGGGTTGATATTTATAGCCCTCAATAATTTGTCCTGTTACCCAAGAATTGACTCTAAAGGGGGGTGAATAGAGTCAATGGCCAATTTTTGCAATTTATAGAAATATAATTTCTAATCAACAATCTAACCAATTATGCAATAATCAAGATATGGAATTAATATATGAAAGTAAACAATTTCTAGCATAATTATAAAAGAGATAAAGGAAGAGTAATTGCAAACAATGACTCGAAAATTTTTGCGAAGTTCAGAAACTCCTACTCCTCGACTCAAGACCTCTTGAGACTTCCCAATCCACTGTGGCTTCTTCTTAAGGGTGAAGAGCAAACCTTTACATGAAACAACTCCTTACTTTGCTTTGCAAAGAGAACAACATTCCTTTAGTCTTTCTTTGGGTCACACCAACCCGGTGGATCATACTAACCTTTACAATAGATAGTAACAAGAATAATAAAGTACAAGAAATCTCTCAAAGATAGATGTACAAATTTTAACTCACAACTAGAGTATTGATGAATAAAAGTGAAGCTGTAATGACCCAGTCATTTTTCTTCCTTTCCTTTTTCTCAGATTTTTACGGATATTTTTTTTTCTTTTTTTTTTTTTTTTTTTTTTTCGTTGTCTTTTCTTTTCTGTGTTCAGTTTTTCGTCACTTGATGTCGTCTCGAGTGCTCTGGAATGATTTCCGAGACTCTTTTTCTTGAATTAACAACTTCCTTTGAGGATCGTGTCATTTCCACATTTTTATTTTTTCCGGACACTATTCACTTTTCGTCTTTTTCTTGTTTATCATTTTTCCTTGCACAACCTCACTTTTTGTGTTCGGATTTGATTCCGGTTTTACATGCATCTATGATATTTAAAATTCCATGCCATGTGTATTTTTACTTTCTTAGAAAAGCATAATTAGTGTTTACTTTTCTTGTAAAGGGTATGGATGAATAACTTTTTGTAATATTCTTCACTTGTAGGGTTTTAGTGTAATTAAATAAAGTAATTATATTTTATCTTGGGGACCATTTTTCAATCTAATTTGGAAGATATTTTGGAAAATGACTTTTTTGCAATTTTTGGAAAATGTGACGAGTGTCACATTCTTATGGTGCCACTTGTTGGTATTGGGGTGAAGTGACTTGGATGCTTCATCTTGTGACATTTGGAGGGTGGAGATTCACCCACTTGTTGGCCTAGGATTGGTGCATTTGTTGGCTTAGATGGTTGACAAGTGTAGGCTTGAGATTAAGCCTAGGAAGGAACCTTGGATTTGTGACAAGTGTAGGTTCACATTTTAGTCTTACAATTATTTTTGGGCTACTATGGGATTATGGTTTTAAAGGAGGTTTTTGTGCAATTGACCATAGATGTGTGTGTTGACCATGGTGTAGGATCACATAGTGAGTGGAGGATTTCTATTTCCTCCACTCACACTTTTTCACATTATGTCATTACCTTCCTCACCATAAACCCTAGCCTCCATTGATGAAACTTAAAGCCTTAAGCTTTGACTTTGATTTTTGAGAGCCTTTCATTGATTTCCAAGCTTAACCTTGGGAATACTTTTTGTTCCCCTCATCCTCCTCTTCATAACCCTTGAAGGGTTTGCCATTTTATGTTGATTTGCCTTGGATTCAAGAGGAGCAATCCTCTTGTGAGGTAGGGGGTGTTATAATTTATTAGCTAAGGGTTACTTTTGTAGTGACATATAAGTTGTATGCATGCATTTTAATTAATTTGAAAAATTAATGATGTATCATAGCTTGCATATAACTCACTTTAGACTTAGTATATGGCATGGCCATGACATGATCTTTGCTATATATTAAATTGGAATGATTTAAATGAGTTTTCAAATCTAGAGATTAAATGAATTTAATTTGATTTAAATTCTACTTAATTGTGTTTTGCTTATATTCTATTTTTGACTTGATATATGGTATGACCATGACTTAGTGATTGACATATATTAATTTGAGATCATTTGAACAACTTTTGAAATCTAGAGATTTAATTGATTTAAATTAATTAAATTCTATTTGATGATATCTTACTCATTTTACACTTTTTGATTTGATATATGTAATGAGCATGCTATGTTGTTTAATATATATTAATTAGAGGTTATTTGAATTTGATTTGAAATTTAGAGAATTTAATTATTTTTTTTGATTAAATTCTATCTAGTGGCTCCATGGATCTATTTGTGTTTTAGAAGTTGTTTCTATATTCAAATCATGGACTTGGACTTGTTGTGTATTCACTTGGTTGTGTTTTGAGCATTGGATAACATTGTTGTTATATTTATATTCATGAGAACTTGTTTTCTTTTTGGAATATATTGTTGGCTTGTGTAATGAATTGCACACTTTGTAATTGACATTATGTATGCCATTTTAGAATTGAAACTCTAAGGCATGGATTGTATGGTTTCAACCTACTTGTGCATGGAAGGTGTTTTCGTGCATTATATAAATTATGTATAAGTTGTGAACTTATTTGGTTTGTTTTGGAGTCTTGGGACATTGTTGTTACAAGTGACATGGCTAGAGTTTGGCTCTAGTGCAGGCGGTATGAGTTCTCCCCAATTGAGATAGTGCACATTAGGGTGGTCTTCCCAGCGAGTTAATGCCCGGAATAACCGTTTATGTCTTGGCTTTATCCAAGGCATGATGTCCAAGTCTTCCACTATTTGATTTCGCATTCAATTCCAAGTTGACAATCATGTTTAATTGTGACTTGTGGTTTTGGTTATTGGCGATTTTGATGTTGTTAAGTACATATATGCTAAATTGTCATATTTAGTTATTTTTGCACTTTAGATTCCAAGTTAATAACTTCGAGAATCTATGTCTTGATGCATTGCATTTGAAATTCTAATTATGCTAAATGGTTATATTTAGTTGTCTTCGTATTTTAGATTTCAAATTGATAACTTTGAGAATCTATATCTTGTTGCTTTGTATAGCATGCCCTTATGTTGTTTGGGATTGCATGCATGATGTGATTTATGCTAGAAATGTTTTAAGGTAGCTTAGGATGCTCCCTGAGTCTAACCTTTGACATAGACATTAGGTAGCATGACCCTTTTGAATTGTTTCAAGTCAATGTAAAATTCTCTAAAGAAATTGACTTATGCATGCTCATTCTCTACGAGTAAACTTGTTTACTCACCCCGAAGTTACTGGAGGGCTGTTTCAGGTATGAAGACTTGGTTCGTGATGTTCATCATTGCTTGGATGATTGTAGACTTGAAGGTTTTTAATTTTTGTAAAGGTTGGCTTGGAATGCCACTTATAGCCTTTTAAGTCAAGATGTGTATATTTGATTCCATATATGTAATGTGTACATGAGTACACTCTTTACAATGTATTTGACATGTATGAGACAAAGCCGGAGGCCAATGACATGTAATTTGTATCCTATGTAATTTTTTTCTTCATGGAATATTATGAAAATATTGAAAAATGTTGAGTTATTGCTTCACCATGTTTGCATCGGGTATGGGAATTCTATTTTGATTCTTCCATAGGGTCTCATTAATCATGTATGAAGTGTGGCCAACGGCTAAATGGTATTTTGAAATCATTTCATAATTTTGAATTCCGAGTTTTCATTCCAAGTTCCATTTTTGTCATATTAGCCGTTGGGGGGTCGAATTTTGCATCGGCGATATTTTTAAGCCGTGGATCATTGTAGCACATCCTACTAGGTAAGTTACGTTTGCATGCATGATCGTTTTCAAGAAAAACTTATTCTTTGGTGAAATGAGCTTCTTATGGACTTATTTCGCATCTTTATTACATAATCTAATCTAGGGGCATTCTTGACTTTTCACAGTGGTTTATTTTCTTCTTTCAATATAGTCGCTTAGAAAACATGATTTTAAGGGGGATTTCTTCTTTGTGTTTTTCCAAAAATGTTGTCTTGGTACCAGAAATCGTTCACGAAGTTCGGCTTTCAGT